ACTATTCAATACCAGGCATTATTTAAAATGCATATATATACCCAGACCTTCCAAAAGCCCTTAATTAAGGAATACACTTCAATTTGTAATAGGATCCCAAATATGAATTAAGGTATATATTCCTTAATTAAGGGATTTTGGTAGGTCTGGGTATATATATATATATATATATGCATAGGGTAGTTCAATTTTCTAGGGGTCCAGGATCTAAGTTGCAGGGTTTAGTGTTTGGGATGATGGGCCGGGTTTGGGAGTCGAGGCTCGTCACTGCAGAGAAGAAGCTGATGAGTTTGGTCGAGGACCTGAGAGCTGTGCCCTACTCGGAGGAGCTCCGGCAGGTTTTGACGAAGTATGTGGATGATGTGAAAGTGATGCCGGGCGAGTGGGATAAGAAGATTCATCCTGCGAGCAGCTTGGAAGACAAGATGTCTGCAATCAGCCTCCTCGAGGAGGATCTAAAGCCTATCAACGAAGGGATGCGAGAGGCCCGTCGGCGGATCGGCAAGGCACCCAAGCAAAGCTCAGATGCCGAAACAGATTAAAGGCAACTCAGGTGCAATGGTATATAGCTTTTCAATGGCGATCTTTCTAAGCCCCATTCCAATAGACAGTAATCCCGATCGAGACAATTCCTATAAACATCCGATCCAGACAATTCCTAATATCTAGAATCATCAGATGTTCTAGCAAACCCTACACTAAACACCATAGTCCACCCACGTGTATCCCTTAATTTCCCCAACGATCCTTGCAGGCACGTGTCTGCTGGGGCCGGGATGGACGCGGCCATACCGCGTGGGCTTCTGGTGCCTGGATCCTTTGCGCGGACTTCTGGGTAAACTAGGGGTCTACAGATCATCTGGACTTACCGGGTTGTCAAATGAAGACTGAATATATACCCGGTGCTTCAAGTCTTGCATTCCCTCCGTGCTGCACCTTGCACCTATGAACCCCTAAACGCAGTCCCAAACCCTATGCCCTGGCACCCGGAGCCCCTCAACCCTGTACTGCTTGTTGTGTTTTGTTCTTGGGTTTAGGGTCTATAGGGTTAAGGCTCTACGAACGACCACAAAAGCTTTCTGAGCATTGCAGCCAATTGTCGGCCCACCTTTTGATAATCCAGAGATTGTCGGCTCCCCCAACTGGGTACGTACCCTCGTTTCCTCAGCTGCAGCTCGTCTAGTAGTCCAAGGAAACTCCGAGCCATAGTCCCTGAGCATAGCTAGTGTACTGTTTCATAATGTTGTGAATACTAGTGCTATAAGAGAGCCGAGTGTTATATAGGGTTACAGGGGCCCAATGCAGGAGTGCAGGCATGTAGAGAGTAACCACCATTGACCCGATGTGAAGTTAGACCGCATTGCTCGATACAGTGGACTGACACCCTCCGACAACGATCTAGCTAAATCAAAAGCCCCACACTCCCAAGTCCAACTCCTCGATTTAATATATATATATATATATATATATATATATATGTATATATAATATATATTTATATATTGTTGCAACACATACAAGCCGAATTGAGCGACAATTCCCCACGGTATCACAGCCGCTGCTTCGCATTCCTATATGCAGAACGCAACCGGTGATATATATATATATACATTATAAATATATATATATATATATATATATATTATATATATATAATAGGCACTAGCTCCTATATCCCACCACCATCCCCGGATCTCCACCAGGACGATAGTAGTACAAAAGTAGATAGCTAGCGAGCTAGCCGAGCGACGACCAGACGAACAAGCAACACAGCTAGCACGGACGTTCTTTTGTCTGGAGTGGCAACTATCCCAGGTTGCCTGGAGATAACTGATAGCCTTCGGCTATCTATCCCCAGGGTGGGCAGGGTGGGTACTTCAAAATTACCCCCCCTGATGGGGGACTTTATCCAGAATGGCAACGGTCACACACCGTCGTAGCCATTCCAAGTCACAGCTATCCTGTCTTCGCATGTCAGAGGCAACTCTCCTGCGAGCGACGATAGCGAACGAAACTTCGTTTCTAGCGAAGCTACCTTCGATAGCTTCGAGTAGTAATAGGTTAGCTAGCACACATAGTCGTAACTCGTTCCTCGTCACGAGGTACGTGCACTAGCTCCTATATCCCACCACCATCCCCGGATCTCCACCAGGACGATAGTAGTGCGAAAGTAGATAGCTAGCGAGCTAGCCGAGCGACGACCAGACGGACAAGCAACACAGCTAGCACGGACGTTCTTTTGTCTGGAGTGGCAACTATCCCAGGTTGCCTGGAGATAACTGATAGCCTTCGGCTATCTATCCCCACGCATCGCCACTCAGGCTACCAGGGATCTAGCTTTCTGGCCTTACGGCTAAACTTGGACACCCTATCCGGGGTCCCTCGCTTTCGCGTGCCTAGCTCCTGGTAGAAGCTATCTGCATGCGCGAGTAGCCGGCCCAGAACACGCCACTGGAATTCCTCTCCTTTCAGATCTATCCTCTGAGAGGGATCGAATTCCTTGAACTCCTCGTTCGTGAGGTCATCCGCTAGCTGGTTGATGTCTCTCCGTATCCACTGGAGCTGTAGCTCACAGTTTTTCTGGGATAGCTCTTCTGCTATCTCCATTAAAACTAGCATGGAAGGATACTTGGTCGTCATGGCCTTCTTCACAAGTGCCTCATTGGACTTGTTATCCGTATAGCCGCGGATGGCCACTCGCGAGGTCTTCCTATCCTCGCCCTCGGGGACCCAGAGACGTATCCCCACGAGGGTC